TGGGCACAGAAGGACAGGAAAGAGTGGGCGGAGCTGGGCACAGAAGGGTGGGACAGGGTGGGGTGGGGCGTCACAGGGCAGGAAAGGGAGGGCGGAGCTGGGCACAGAAGGGCAGGAAAGAGTCGGGTGGGGTGGGGCAGATCAGATCGGGGCAAGTTGAGGTGGAGCAGAGCAGTACAGGTGGATAAAAATGACAGCCTGTGCACCTTGTCTCACTGTTCACATCTGAGTACTTGGGAGCGAGAGGGATTATCCTCAGGGAAAATGGAAACAGCGCAAGCTCGCTGTAATACCTGTCCTTTCACAAATTTACACCGTTATGGTTCTGAAACATGGAAGAAAAATCAGACAAAACGGCTAAATGAAGATGACTGGTATAAACATTCTGGGACACCGGCTTCTCTTCCCTCTTCTCGTTTCTGCACAACAGCGACTGCAGAGTCTGCACCGCCCTCCGTGCAAACACTGTTTTCAGATTTAATGAAAGCTTCCAGCTGCCAAGTGGTCAATTCCCGAGAACCCAGTGGGATTCTCCGATCATGCGCCGTCAGTCTCTCCAGTCCCGGTCTCTCCTGCAGGCCGGGACACCGACGTCATCGTAGTCTGCCGCGGCCGGGGGAGGGCCAGCCGCCAGAGAGACCGCCAGGGAAACCGGCATTGCACCAGCTGAAACCCATCATTTTATATTAAAAAACGGCCTCGAATAGAAAACTGAACGATCAGCCAAGATTAAGAACCTGTCCAGAGCAAAATCCAGAAGACGCAGGACTGTGATTCATTGCATTTGGACCTCTGAGGCTGGTGAGCTCCGATCCAGCAGATTGTGCAGGTCGCCATTAACTCACCAATTTTAAAGGCCTGGAACAATTTCACTGTGATCGGTTAAGCAGGTGATTTACCAAATAGGAGATCATGGAGGACCAAAGTCTTAGTGCCCCTTAACTCCTCAGGATCAGTCTTCTCCTACCTGAATACATGACTGGCTGAATTGATCAATATCTTACAGGCGTTGCTATTCTTTAGAAAAGGGCTGGGCTGGGACTGGGGATGGACACCCCAACTCTAAAGCCACTCTCCTGGGCACTTGCCCTGCTGAGTACACTGTACACAGGATCCCCTTACCTTGGCTGGGGCTGCTCTCAATGTCCTCCACATCATCATACCCTAAGGGCTCCTCAGCATGGAAACTGTCTGTAAAGAAGAGAGCAGGTCAGTATGTAGTTTCTCCCTTCAGACCTACTATTGTATACAAAGCACTATTGACAGATTCTACCTGAATCACAGCTTGCCTTTTTATTGCTAATGTTGGCAGGTTTTCCCAACGTCAAGTCCCTCCATTGACTATACATGTGATACAACTCAAACTATGTTGTTTCGTAGTTTGTAGACCTGTATATTCTGACACCGCAGGGGCAGTGTGGTAGCGGGTATCTTTTAAATGATAAGTCTTGGTAACAGACACAGCTGCGAGGTAAAACACAGAGCTTAAACTCAATCCCCAAACCCTCTTCCAGCTCTCGCTGAACTTCTTCAATTGTCCTCGTCATCAATAACCAGGCAGCTAAGCGTTATCTGGCATCAAATCAAATTTTGTCTCAAATAACGAAATCAACTCTCCCAACAAAAGTGTCCATTGACCACTTCCTTGCTCTCTCCTCCCTCTGATAAACTCTGCTGTGTTCCTAGCTTCTGCCTCCTGTTTTTGAACTGTGTTCTGACCAATTGTATTCCTCCAACTGGTCAGGTGACAGATGGCGACCAGTCATTCCGCACTGCTTTCTGGGAAATGTAGTTCAGACAAGATCTGCCATCTCGATTCGATCCTACCACCCTCTAACAGCCTCTGATCCTGTCCTCAGATCAGAAAAGACTGAGCTGTTGGTTGTTCACGGACACTGACTTAATTCTGCTGGGGCAGAGCCTTCAGATGCTGCACTCCTCACATATGAAGCTCTCATTACATTACAAGAGACACGATGCTCAAGTCTGACTTTAAGACCCCTGTTCTTAAGTGTGACACAGATTTTACCAGTGGACTGGAGTTCTGCATGAGCAGTGTAAGAAGGAAGTGCGTCCTTTTTGTGCCCATGTCCTCATGCCCATGCCCATGTCCTCTAAATCCCTCAGCACACTCTTGTGTCACTCTTGTGTCACTCTTGTGTCACTCTTGCGGTGCTTCCCCCACAATGCAATTCTGCCTTCAACTATTCCTGCGCTCCTCTGATGTCTTACCTGCCCTGTTGCTGTCCCCCACCTCATCGTATCCTGACGCCAGCTCATCCAGAAGGAATTTCCCTGCGGAGGGAGGAGCAGGTTACTACTCTGCCTTTCCGGTCAAGTGCTGGGTGTGTGGCGCGCTGAAGCCGTTACCAGAACTTCAGCCCACGACTCCGGTCATTCTGCATGTCTGACTCAGCGATTCGACAGGATTTCGCCCGCCCATGCTTCACACACACACACACACACACACACACACACACACACACACACACACACAAAACCCTGCCTTCTCACACTTGTCTCGAACCCGGGACCCAAGGGCTGGGGGGGCAGCAGGGCTAAACCCCGCGCCAACGTGCCGCTCGTCTGCTCGCCAGTCCTTTCTGAAGTCTGAGCTCGCCAAAAATAAGTTGAACAAAGTGATCAGGACTGGACTGTCCTTGGAGTCAATAGCATGTCTAATGGAGAGACCTATTATTAATCTTGCACATAATAAGAAGAGAAGACCCCTGTCATCCACTCGTATTAGACTATACTCTTCTACCCTCTGGGAGGAGGTAGCAGATCCCCTGCAGAAAGACTAAGAGAGCATCTACTGCCTTTCCACCCAAAGGCAAGGAATGGTTGAATAATGAACAATGAAAAAATATTTTTTAAGGCTCTTTATAAGCGAATGTTCTGTTTTTTAATCTTATTAAACTGGAAGAGTCCTGATTGTTCGATGCTGTTGAATGTTGTTGTGTATGATGGTATTGTACTGTTGTTGTATTGTGTTATTGTCTCTTATGCCACATGTTTCTGAGCTTTTTATGTGCAAGACAAATACCTTTAGGGGCATCTGGGGTAGATTATGTTTTTTCTTCCACTTTGAGACTTTAATTACTTTAATTGGATTCATCAATTGCTGAATTGGACAAGTTACATTTCCCTTGTTCTTAGGACGCTGGAAATTTAGACTTGTAAAACTTGCTGGACAGCAGTGCTGGAGGGCCAGAGCTGGGGACCCTTGGACTACGGATTTGAATATAAATTCCTTCTTCATTTAACCCTACAACAACTGATCACCAGTATATAGTTCCAGGTCTTTAAAAACTGATAATGCAGTGAAGATCTTTGAAAGCCTGGTCTACACCCATAACCTACAAATCTTCCACATCTAAGGAGTACAGTGGGATAATTACTGTATGAAGTTAGAGCTAAACAGCTGTTTGTGTTATAAAGGGAATCAACCTTAAATAATCAATCATGAATGCTGATGATTGAAAATCAATATTATATTTTATGTTTTATACCAGACATGTACCCTAATGATAGAAGTGAGTTCTTTTCAATTTAAAAGGTTTTTAATGGTCACATTTTCTAATTCTCTAAAATCTAGATCTATTTTGTGCAGCAGAAATTTGCTTACATTCCCAGGAAATAACTGACAAAAATATTTCTCCACTTAGATGAACATGTGAAATTAAACTAAAATAATAAACTTCACCACCGGCCTAAAAGAACAACTAAGCTGAAAATAAAAAACATTGTTTTTAGCTCTTATGCTTCCTCACAAGCCAGTCCCTGCCGCAAAGTCAGATCTCAGCGTCTCTGCCTGTCCTGCAGTGTGAGGAATCGAAAATTGGTCCCACTCACCTCTCCTGTAGTCACTGTGGACTTCCTCTCTGCCAAATTTGTAGTCAAGTTCCTCATATACGGCATCAGGAGACCCAGTCAAATCTCTCTCTGCGATGACTGGAAGCAGGCAGCACAGAAACACACAGCTACATCAAGGAGCTGTTACCTTGACTGAGGTTTCTACAGTTCTCTGTGGTGACTGTAATGCTCGATGAATAATTCCTGGGCTGCTGTTTTCATGCAGAGCAGAGCTGTGCTTCTTACACTGTGTTAAAATGACAGTGCACACCATGCAGGGCACGTTGCCCTCAGCTACCCTTGATTTTTAAGCAAGTCAAAGCCCTTTCAACTTCCCAAAGCGCAGAAAGCTTTGTAATCCAAATTCAAATAACCAAGAAACACAACTGCAGGTGCTGCCAGCTCTCTGTTCCCAGCAGAACCCACCCAACAGGAAGAAGAAAGGCTCTGGGAGTTTGCGCCCAGAAGCTCTTCAGCCCAGGGATTAAGTAAAGGCTTGGGGCCAGTTGTGCTGGAGTCAGGCCTATACTGAAATCTGCATACTGGTGAGACCCGGTCTCCATACTGGGACTTCCTTCCCTACCTCTCCGCAGTTCCCGGTTCTGGTACACCTGCCCGGCGCACAGGACCAGCACCACGAAGAGCAGAGCCCCCAGCACCAGGAAGGAAACCATGGGGATTGTGGACTGGGCCTGCGGCGTGCTCACAGCGACACCTGGTGAGCAGAAGGCCAACATGCTAGCAAAGAGACACAATGTCCTGCTCCGCGTGCCTTCCCCAGAGTGCATTCTGGACAGGAGCAGTGAAATCTGTTACGCATCAGCTACAGAAATCTGGTCCAGCAGCTGCCATAGACTGAGAATCCACAGAAGCTGACCTCACTAAGCAGGATCTCGGTGAGAGTCACTTACCCTTCAGTCCTGTACAGACGACCCCAGCGTCCTCCTTGTGTGCGCAGTCGCTCTGTCCCAGGGGAGAGCGGCAGCAGTCCCACAGGTGGCGCTCATCGCCCGCGCACTTCACCTCGTCCAGCCAGATGGCGCCGTGTCCCCTGCCGAACGAGGCATCGCCCACGGCCCTCACGGCCGCCCCGCAGCCCAGCTGTCTGCAGACCACCTGGGCGTCCTGCAGGTCCCAGGAGTCGTCACACACCGTCCCCCAGGATCCCTCGAACCGAACCTCCACCCGTCCAGAGCAGTTACTGGGTCCCACCAGCCGCAGACCTAGTTGAGAAAGTTGAGGTTATCAGGTAAGAACCTCTAGATAATGAGGCCTAATCACTATCGAGGAGAAAATAATCCCCCTCAGCTCAGTTGCACTAGAGAATAACACAGGTGCTGTATCCCCTCAGCTCAGTTGCTCTAGAGAAGAACACTGTTGCTCCTGAATCTCCTCAGCTCAGTTGCTCTAGAGACGAACACTGGTGCTCCTGAATCCCCTCAGCTCAGTTGGCCTAGAGAAGAACACTGTTGCTCCTGAATCTCCTCAGCTCAGTTGCTCTTGAGAACACTGGCGCTCCAGAATCCCCTTAGCTCAGTTGCCCTAGAGAAGAAAGCTGTTGCTCCTGAATCCCTTCAGCTCAGTTGCTCCAGAGAAAAAAACTATTGCTCCTGAATCCCATCAGCTCAGTTTCTGTAGAGAAGAACACTGGTGCTCCTGAATCCCCTCAGCTCAGTTGCTCTAGAGAAGAACACTGTTGCTACTGAATCCCCTCAGGTCAGTTGCTCTAGAGACGAACACTGTTGCTCCTGAATCCCCTCAGCTCAGTTGCGCTAGAGACGAACACTGTTGCTCCTGAATCCCCTCAGCTCAGTTGCTCTAGAGACGAACACTGATGCTCCTGAATCCCCTCAGCTCAGTTGCTCTACTGAAGAATTGACTGTTACAGATTGACTGAATTGACTAAAGCTAGACTGTTACAGAGTGAACTCACCAGGACAGTGCTCCTTAGTTTGGTTCATTTGAGGTGATGCATCACTTCCAGGAACTTCATCCTTTTTACCTTTTCAGGGAAAAAACAAATGAATACACTTTTAACATATCTACTGTAAGCCTTCATGTATTTTACACGGTCTCACCTACATTCAATTCATTCATAAGCTTTAAACATTGAGGTTAATAATAGCAGTTTTTAAAATTGTTCAGACATAATGAACCGTCATCATTGTTTTATATTGTAATGGTCTGTTGTCTGACAGTGTTAAATTAATAGAATAGTTTTCCCTTTTCATAACATTTAATATACTGTAAGGTTGATTAATTAATTGTCTATTCTATATTCCCTGAAGGGAAGGGGTATCTATTAGACTCTTAGTGCTATTAAAAATAAGACACTAATTCATTATTTAACCTATGATTTAACAATGCTGATCAAGCACCTAATAAACCTGAAATGCATTCCTTGTAAAATACGCCCTTGTTAATACATCTTAACTATCCATTCATGAAAATGTACGAAAAACATCTACGTTTTTACAGAAACCAACATGTATAAGCACAGGTATATTTCTTTTGGTGCTCAGGTTTAGACTGAGACGTTGCAAGTCTAGTGAGGCCTCACACACAGCTCAACACACAGAGTGGTGCAGCAGAAAGAGCAGGGCTGTACAATAGGTTGTCTTGATTTGAGAGCTTTTCTCCTATTTGCTTTGCCCCAGAACAGTGCTCCTGTCTCATCGCCCCGCCCAGCTCCCGTGACCTTTGCCCTGTGAAGTCCGCGCTAAGTGCGCTCAGTCATCCCAGTGAGGGGATGTGACAACATGGCATCGTGGACCACAACAAATAACTCAGGGATCACAATCACGAACATGGACCTTCTTCGGGTTTAAGTTCCAGACAGAGAAAGAGACACTGTTACCTGAGCAGGTGACCTCAGCCACTTCGGTGCTCCAGCAGTGGTCAGGGTCCCAGGGCGAGGAGCGGCACTGCCACAGAGAGAAATCCTGCACCTCACACTGAACTCTGTCCAGCCACCGGGGGACGTCCGTGAGCCTGGACGCTGTCTCTCTGATTCCCGCACCGTCTCCACAGCCCAGCTGGTGGCAGATCACGGTGGCCGCGAGGTCGGTCATATCATTGAAGCAGACGCTGCCCCAGCTGCCATTGTAGAAAAGCTCCACCTGCCCCGAGCAGCCCCCGGACAGCCTCAGCTGCTTGTGCTCTGCCAACACAACAGGACAGCCCTTCTGAAGAAACACAGCTCCCGCTCTGACATCAACCTGATAACTCCAGGGCTCAGCCTCCACTGCTACCTCCACCTCTAGCAACTTCTGTCTGAGAACAAAAGGCACCTCTTTACACAAAGGGTGGTGGGAGTGTGGAACAAGCTGCCCAGCCGTGTTGTTGAAGCCGATACCCTGGAACAGCTGGATGAGATCCTCAGGTATGTGCTCCCCAACCATTCTTGTGTTCTAAAATAACTATTGTCGCTTTTGCCAATTTTCCTAGGAGCTCAGGGCTCCACCTACAGTATCTCCCTGTCTCGGTCGAGCCTACAGGATTTGTGATGTGCTGTACACCAGGAGTCCCCTGTCCCCAGGAGACAACAGGAGGGCTGGTCAGTATAAGAGCTGGAAGAAGCTGGTAAACTGATCCAATTAAGCCAACAACAAGAGGATTCAGGTAATTCAGGACTGGTAAGTCCAAGCTTGAATGAAAACCTGCAGACACACTGGCCTTCCAAGGCCCTTGATGTACAGTATTCTTTTCAACACAGTTAACAGGTGTGGTTTACTCCAGATGCCTTTTCTGACGCAGGAAGGAAAATGTACTGTAGTTCACCAGGCAGTACGGAACTGGCTGTGATGAACACTACTCTGGACAAGAACCCTGTTAATCTGAGCTGTCACAGACAAAACCTCTTGCATTTTAGAACTAGAAAGAAGTCAGTACAGAGTTCACTCAATTCAGGCAAGGAATCGCTGAGCTTCTGGAGTGTGAGAAGAAGTCCTTTTGTGGACCTGGGTTTGTGAATCCCCGTGTGCAGGAATCTGAAGATTCAGATAGAATCTCTTGCAACCTCTAGATATGGGCCCCTCTGGTGATTACATTTATCCAAGTAGGAGACATTTTGAAAATAGATTTCTGCTTTCTTGGTTTCTGTTGTTTAGAACAGTCAAGTGGTGCAGTTGTCTTCACCAGTGGGATATACTGTATTTTCAAATATCCACTAAAAAATAACTAAAGCGTTTCCTATCTCAGTGGGCTGCTTCTCCATAAAGTGGGACTCTACAGGACCTGTAGCTGAGAGACGTAAGAAGTCATTCTGGTTCTCCTACCTGAGCACACGACCGCCACGTCCTCCTTGTGTCCGCAGTCGTGCTGTCCCCAGCCCGCCGAGGGACACTCCCACAGAGACGACTCGTTCCCCGTGCAGCCCACCTCGTCCAGCCAGATCTGTCCGGTCCCTGGTCCGAAGGAGGCCGGCCCCCGGTCCCCGAGGGCCGTCCCGCACTGGAGCTGCCTGCACACCACCTGGGAGTCCGCCGGGCCCCAGGAGTCATCGCAGACCGTCCCCCAGGAGCCGCGGTGATAGACCTCCAGCCTCCCGGCACAGCCGTCTGGTCCCCCGGCCAGCCGCAGGGCCCTGTGGTCTGGGCGCAGAGACACTTTCATCAGTACAGGTCCGATCAGGGCAGATCGCTCTTTAATGAGCAGTATTGTGGAAAGACACCTCAGAAATATAATCCATTCCATTTCTAAATTACTTGTTAATTAACCTGGAGAAGTAACCCTTACACAAGACATTAACAGACTCTCATTAAGAGTATTTATGATCTTTATTATTATGATCTGTACATATTATTTATTTCCTTATTATGATCTTATTCTTGATGAGCTTTATGATCGTTTGTTTGAGTCTGGCTCACGTCATCACCGAGTAGTGGTTTGCGATCGGCTGGCTGCCACTGAGGGTAGCCTGGCATTAGTCAGCCAGAACTCGAACTGTGACCCCCTGGGTGCCTGCAGTGAGTGACACTCCTCTCGTCCTGTCAGCACTCATGTTTGCTGAATGCATCTAGTTCTTCCATTCATGCGCTACAGTGCAGCACAAGACTGGAGGCTTATAGTTAGGAGTGTGAACAGAGGAAGGGTTTCTAGGCCGCGCTCTTAGAGGATAACGAAAACACTGAAACCATCTCCTCTCAATATTCTTTATTTACAAGTAGGTAATAATTTATTTGTTATACTGTAAATAACATTCAATTCTTGAAAATTCTCAGGGTTTATTACACTATAATATACATTATATGTGATATTCAAGTTTCTTAATGTTATCTAGGAATATAAGTAGTTCATCTTTTGTAGTGGCACAACTGACAGACACTTGAAAGTGTAGGCTGTTTTAGTTCTTCCTGCTTTTTCAGTCTGCTTTTTTACAGAATAGATGGTGCACTTCTCTGTTCATGACCAGTAATCCAGTAATTAAATACTTGACACCCAGTGAGTCTATTTACAGGAATAAAAGGAGCTTTTGGTGCCCTCTAGTGGAAAATGGACTGTTATTGCAGTCAGTTCTTAGGCAGGTCTTCCACACTGTGAAACCCTTTTCATACAGGGCAAAGGGTTACCAAATTACTGAACTTTGGGAACGCCCACTGAATTAGACTTCGACCTATTCAATTAGATAAATAAAGTCTGTGCTCAGGAAAGACTCACGTGAGCACACCACGGCGACGCTGCTCTCGGTCCTGCAGCGCTGTGTCCGCGGGGAGCTGCAGTTCCCCAGGTGAGACTCTCCCCCGGAGCACCGGATGCCGGTCAGACACACGCTGCCCTCGCCTGTCCCGTACTGAGAGGAGCCGAAGACGTCCACGGCGGCGCCGCAGCCCAGCTGCCTGCACACCACAGAGGCCTCTCCGGGGCCCCAGGAGTCCTGGACGACCCTCCCCCAGGTCCCGCCGTGGTGCACCTCCACCCGGCCCTCACAGCGGCTCGCTCCCGCCGACAGCCGGACGTCCCGCACCGGGAACGACGACCCTACAGCGACAACGATCACAACCCTGACTGTGTGAGTGTGCCAGGAGAGACGGCCCTCAGGGGACAGGCAACAGAAGGCAAAACCTCTTTGAGGGAAATGGAATGGTAAATGGAGATCAAAGCAAAGTGCAGGAGGAGGTCAGACCCTAATCTCACCCGCTTCTGCCTGCCTAAGTATAAACACCACACTTCCTGCAGAGTGGTTGGTGAGATCAAAGCAGAAAACACCTGTGGGCATTCAAACTCGGAGCCAGCGCTGCTGATTACGCAGGAGAGCGCGTGGGTTCTCTTCCTCACCAGAGCACACAGCTCCCGCGTCGTTGGCGTGAGAGCACGCGCCCTCCCCCAGGGAAAAGACGGGGCACTTGCTCAAGTGGGCTTCGCTGCCGTCGCAGTTGAAGTGGTCTTTCCACACCGGGCCACTGCCCGCTCCAAAGCTGGCTCCTCCCGGGGCCGCGACGGCCGCCCCGCAGCGCAGCTGCCAGCAGAGGGCGCTGGCGTCCCTCAGGCCCCAGTGCCGATCGCAGACTGTGCCCCAGTCGCCGCGCAGCTGCAGCTCCACCCGGCCGGAACAGGAGTCGCTGCCGTTCACCAGCCGATAATCCGAGTACCCTGTGCCAATGACAAGGGAGATCCCAGGTTTCCAACGTCAAGGACATTCAGTGCCGAATGTCTTAAGAAAACCCAAGGTTCCAGTGAGCTTAGACCTTGATAGGGAAGACAGCGGCTTGGCCTGGACACAAGGCCAGTATTCAACCGGGGGGGGGGGGTTGAGAGAGTGAGGTAATACTTGAAATGCACCTTATTTTGGAGTGATATTAGGAATTTTCACCCTTAATTACCACATCCCGGATGAGATCCTGGGATCAAGTAAATGCTGAACAGACTGGACAGGTCAGATGGTCTCCTCTCAAATGCAACTGTTCCTGTGTTATTAGATTTCTGCGTCGCTGGGGAAATTACAATGGAAATAATGTCCAGGTGTCAATTCCTGGGTGATGCAAGTGCTTGTTCCTTCCAGAGAACAAGAAATATATAATTTATTGTGTATTACTCTTATTGTGTCCATGTAGTTCATTGTATTTCACTGTGTTGTCCCTGCAGATACTTTGAGTTTAAACCAAGGGAACCCACAAAGAGTTACATTGAGTCAATCATCCAATTAATCAATTAAGTAACATGAAAACAAAATGTTTAATCTGTGTATTCAAGTGACACTGTTGATGTCTTATTTTTTTGCTCTCATCTTTAAAAATAGATTCCTGGCAAGGTCTTGTCAGAAATTATTTAACTTTTCATTCAACTTCCATATGTTTTTTTTTTCTAGTAGTATGAAAAAGGGATTGCATGGAATTTTTCAAATATCAAAATCCCAGGTACATCACATTGCTCTTGAAATCTAACTTGAGGATTTATGGACACAACAGATCTTGGTTTTCTGAAATGATTTGCTTTGCTGACATTCAGCAAAATCAGAATTTTGAGCTGGGGCTTTCCCTGGATTTGCTGGGCTTTTTTCTGGCATGATGTAACCAAGCACAGCCTTTTTCTCTTTTGATTTTGATTTGTTTTTAAATGGAAAGAAAGGAGGGCTAGAAGTAAGCTCCAGGCTTTCACTATGTTTACATAGTAAGAGAGTCATAATCGTAAAAACCTCTTGAGCTGTGCAGCACACTTGCTTTCAAACCATCTTAATTTTCATGGCACGGTCTGCTGCATCAGTCTTGTATATTTTCTTCATTTGGTACTTGTGGAATTCCTTTAGGCGTAACAAACCAGGAAGAAAAAAGATAAAACAAACCTGTTGTTTGACTCTGGCTGTGACAAGTGTAGCTGACTAAAAGAATCTGTGACATTTTTGGACATTTGGCATTATTGTCCCCAGAAAGTTTTACACTGTTGAACACTGTGAGCAAACTGCAGTGCCTTGCGAGCACCAGCTCAGACCAGCTTCAGGGCGTCTTTAAAAGCGTTAAAATTGCAGCACGCTTGCTTTCAAACCAGGCCTCTTTACAGCTAGAGACCCTTTTAGCCAATGTCTGCCTGGAATTTCCTCCTCTTAAACATTTTGTTATATCTCTGCAGCAGAACATAGCAGGAGCCTGGTTCAGGTCTTATATTGAAGCTAACTCCTTCGGCTTTGAGCGCGAGGTCAAATTTATTTTATTTCTTAATGTGTCCACTCAGTAGATGAACCTTGTCCTAGGTGTCTACTAGCTTTGATAGAAATTTGGGACAAATTGATCAATTTGAAAACATTCTACATAATGTTTTGTGAAGACTGGACCTGGAATGAAATTTCTCGCATGTAATAAATAAATCATAGAAATATTGTAAGCAATAACAATAAAAAACATTGCAATTGCTATTAAAACCTTTAGGCACTGCTAGAGAGCTTTTTCCTGCTGTTAGGCATTGAAAAGAACCCTCAGAGTTACCTTCTTGTGTGAAACAAAGCATGTCAAGCAACATATTACTTTAGATTACTTATAGGTACCCAATGGTAGATTTAGGCTGAAAAAAACAGTGTCACTGAAGGAATATTTGGGAAAAATACTACCAAATCAAGGACTTATAAGCTAAATGGAAACTAATTGACTAAGGCAATGATGTCACCACCTCTATAACTTCACCTGTTGACTAAGGACAATGATGTCACCATCTCTACAACTTCACCTGTTGACTAAGGACAATGATGTCACCATCTCTACAACTTCACCTGTTGACTAAGGACAATGATGTCACCACCTTCACCTGTTGACTAAGGACAATGATGTCGCCACCTTCACAACTTCATCTGTTGACTAAGGACAATGTTGTCGCTACCTCTATAACTAAGGACTTCACATGCTGACTTCACCTTCGACAAGAAATCCTGCCTCCTAAAAAGCCCCAAACATGCCCATCTTACCAGAACACACCAGTCCCACGTCGTTGTCATGGCTGCAGTTCAGGCTCTGAGTTGCTGCTTTCGGGCAGGAGTAGAGCAGGGGTTCATCTCCCTGGCACAGAAACTCCTCCGCCCAGACCCGGCCCTGCCCCCCGCCGAAACGAGCTGCCCCCAGCACCTCCGAGGGGATCCCGCAGTCCAGCTGCCGGCAGACCACCTCTGCATCCGGCCAGTCGAAGTCAGCATCGCACACGGTGCCCCAGGTCTCCGCCCGCTGGATCTCCACCCTCCCCGAGCAGCGCCCCCCGCCTCCTCGCAGCCTGACGCCCAGGTGATCTGCACATCCGGACAGAGGGGGCGGAGATGGGTGGGCACAGTGATTGACCCCGTCCGAGATTGCTTCGAGAGTATAGGACCTGACAGCTGCACCACGCTTGTGTTAAAGACACAGGCTCAGTCTGGCCAGCAGGGCTGACATCAGGAAAGCTACCGGTCATGTTGTTGAAGCTGATACCCTGGCTTCTTTGAAAACACAGCTGGATGAGATCCTCCAGCCAGGACAGGAGGCTGTTTGTTACATGGGGTTGCCCAGGCACGTTGTTGAAAGATGAGAAAAATGAACAAATGTGTGTATCCTTTACTGTCGTTGAAGGTTCTTTAGTAGGAATGAAAACCCACAGACATGCTGGAATAGAACAACCCTGTTTTAGAAACAGTGCCCCCTGCAGGACTGGACACCCTGCTGTAGACACAGCGCCCCCTCCAGGACCAGGACTGGACCCCCTGCTGTAGACACTGCGCCCCCTCCAGGACCAGGACTGGACCCCCTGCTGTAGACACTGCGCCCCCTCCAGGACTGGAATCACATGCTTTAAATCAGGGGTCTCAGACCCCACTCCTGGAGGGCCAACATCTTCTGGTTTATCTTCCAAACTGAGCAGTCAATGAAACAACTAACCTAATTCTTTTTTAAATTAGACATATAAAGATTTTTAATTAAAAATACAGTAAACTGTAAATCTCCCCTGAGCCCGGTTAGTAGTATTACAAAGGTAATGAGACAGTTAACGATGTAACTGAGAACATGGTTGAGAGAAAACAAAGAGGACTCTAGGCCCTCTGGGAGCTGAGCTGAATCACTGAACAAGAGAAATCTGCTCACTTAGCGGGCGATTCAGGATGGAAGAGCACCGCAGGCGTCTCACTGCCCCTACCTGAACAGAGCACTCCAGCGTCAGCCTCGTGATTGTAGACGAAGTACTTGACCTCTTGCAACCTGCAGTCCCTCAGGGCCGCCTCTGTCCCGGTGCAGGAGGCTCGTCTCGGCCACACCTTCCCCGATCCTTTCCCGGAGTGCGCCCCGCCAGGCGCCGTCATGGCCGGTCCGCAGCCCAGCTGCCTGCACACCACCGCCGAGGCGCTCGCGTCCCAGCCCTCCCCGTCCACGGTCACCCACTGTCCCGCGTGCAGGACCTCCACCCTCCCCGCACAGGGGCTGGTGCTGCCCACCAGCCTCACGTCACTGCCTGGGGGGACAGGGAGGAGAGGGGGAGTCACTGCACACAGGGCACCACTCCTGGGGTGCTGAGAGAAGTGTTGGGCCTTGACCTCAGTCTGAGTCCATTGTTCCCCGATGGACACTGTGATGCCACATGGGGCGTTAGGCCCTGGTCACAGACACACCCCACACAAGTCAAAGATTAACTCAGGAAGCAGCCATATCACCCTGCAGCTCACTGGCAGCCCCCTGAAGCTCAGCAGGAGGGAGCCTGGTCAGTACCTGGAGGGGAGACTCCTGGGAAAGCTAAGGCTGCTGCTGGAAGAGGTGTTAGTGGGGCCAGCAGGGGGCGCTCACCCTGCGGTCTGTGTGGGTCCTAATGCCCCAGGATAGTGACAGGGACACTACACTGTAAAAAGGTGCCATCCTTTGGATGAGACATAAAACCGAGGTCCTGACTCCCTGTGGTCATTAAAAATCCCAAGGTGATTCTTGAAAAGATTAGGCGTGTTACCCTGGCATCCTGGCCAAATTTTCCCCTGGTCTTTACCAGTCATGGTCTCCTAATAATCCCCATCTCTGAACTGGCTTCATCACTCTGCTCTCCTCCCCACTGACACCTGGTGTGTGGTGAGTGTACTGATGCATCATCCAGGTGGGGCTGCACACTGGTGGTGGTGGAGGGGATCCCCATCACCTGTAAAGCGCTTTGAGTGGAGTGTCCAGGAAAGAGTAAGTGTATAAGTGATATAAGTGTAAGGAATTAGTTATTATTAAACAATTATTTATTTATTGGACATTAATTTAATAAATGTATTAAATAAATAATTAATAAATAAATCATTTATTTATTTACAGGTGGGGCTGCACATTGGTGGTGGTGGAGGGGAGTCCCCATTACCTGTAAAGCGCTTTGAGTGGAGTGTCCAGAAAAGCGCTATATAAGTGTAAGCAATTATTATTAATTATTATTATTGACTGGAACTTTGTATAACACAGCTCTGCCTTAGGGGTCCTGTCCAATGCAGCCGAGAGAGCAGCAGAGGTGTGTGGAGGAAGCCCTGGGACTGCAGTCTAAATCCCTGTGGCTGTGTCTGTGAGCCAGCAGCCTGCGGTGCAGCCCTGCCGGTCTTCAGCCCTGGGCTTTGTGCAGTATTGGTGGGGCTGGAGCTGTCAGCCCAGAGGCTGCATTAGAGGGGCTGGCGCAGTGACAGCACAGCTGTTCTTCAGCACGGAGGCTTGCAGAGCAGCCACATGAATGTGGTTTAGTATCTCTGCGCTGGTGGTGGGAAAACAGACAGCCTGCGCTCTGTCAAAGTGGCTAGTAGTAGAAAAGATGCTTTTCAACACAGAGACTGGGACTGTAGAGTTAGAGCTGGCATCTTCAGTCTGGAGACTGGGACTGTAGAGTTAGAGCTGGAATCTTCAGCCCTAGACTGGGACTATAGAGTTAGAGCTGGAATCTTCAGTCTGGAGACTGGGACTGTA